ACTACTACTACGACTACTACTACTACTACTACTACTACTACTACTAACTACTACTACTACTACTACTACTACTACTACTACTATTACTTACTACTACTACTACTACTACTACTACTACTACTACTACTGCAAGCTCTTAGCAAGAAGAGCAGCGCTTACAGCGTTGGCGATTGCGATTGTCAAATCAGTCATCACTGGTAGTGTCGCCCACCCATGTATTGGAGACCGAGATCCATACACGTCCCGGAGTTGATTTCAAGTGTCTCAACTTGGGCCGATAGCTCTAGGTCGGCATGTTCATAGCATTGCTGAGCTGCAGTTTCTGGAAAGATCTCGGGGAGAAGCGACGGAGCCTGCAATAAGGACACAAGAGCTGCTACACTATACAAATCGAGCCGGGGCACATGTCGCGCGCTGCAAGCCACTCTCCTGCCTGTTCAGCCAGGGACAGTGTTGCGAGTGTTGCGGCTGCACCGCAACAAAGGCGCGAGCACACTATTTACTACGGGGCAATGCACCTCTTTAACTGCAACTGCTCGTGACAATTGCATGATGCGGTTCGCACATGAGAGAGCAGAGCAGTGAGAATGCCGGCACCTCGTAGTTGCGGTATGCCATGGCAAAGCGCTGGAAGAACTCCTCCGAGAAAAGCTGGCGCATCTGCCGGATGTCCTTAGCTGGTACGGCGGGTTCGTGAACACCTTAGGAAACTTCCGAAGTGACGATCTCTGAATTCCATCATGTAAGTATTTCGACTGCTCGTTGCCGAAAGCGTCCTCCAACACATCTCTGAAAGCTCTTCTCTCACTTCATCAAAAAAAACCCCGCTGAATTTGATGCAAGTGACCGGGTTGCTCGTCATGGCATCCCACACACGGTATTCCTGGCCATCACTTGGACTTGGCAAGAGGCTGCTAGCATCAAGTCAACGGCAGGCTCCCTGAGTTGCCTTCGTCACAACAGAACAGAACTCCTTTGCAACCACTTAGCGCTCTCTCTCAGGTGGTTTGACGCCTGCTACTTGCAATGTGCCAGTTCTCGACGGCATATGTAGGTTCACTGCATGCCTGATTGTAGCTGCATACGTGCACTTGCAGCTACGAAGGCCCTGTTGTTATAAGATTGTTGCCATCATGATGCGAGCTTTACTCGTGATATGAAATATATATATATATATATATATATATATATTCCCAACAACACGAGTGATATGAATCCTAAATACAAGAGACTCTAAACCCTCAATCGTAAACCCCGAAGCTTCACCCCTTACTATCATTGCATTTCCGGCTCCTCCGCCATCTTCTCGCTCTTCCGCACCTCGCGAAGCTGGCGGATCTTGAAGCGGTTCCTGCGACGAAAGAAACCGATGGTCATCCCCGAATCTCGCCGATGCTTGATAAATGCAAAGGTGTGCGCATATATATATATATATATAATATGTATGTATCGGTATCCCTCTGTGTATATATATATATATACATACACATAAAACATAGATATGTCATATATATATATATACATATTATATATACATTCGTTACGTGCGCATATGTACAGGCACATAATTCTACACACATTTTCCAAAAAGCGCATACATGTACATGTGGTTGTGTATTGATATATATATATACACACACACACGCCTATATGCATATGTACATATAACTGCATATATGTATATATAGATGTCTATCTATCCTCCGCCATTACATGCCTCTTGAATTTTAGACGACCCTTCATCACTCATGCGATGGGGCTTGCTCGTAGAAGATGGAAGCCTGCATAAACCCCAGAATCGCCATCAAAGTAACCCGAACGTAGGGACAGCGTGGAATCTTGCCGCATCTGAACGAGTTCTCAACTAACCCTAACCCCCCCAGGTACATACTATATAGGGTTCTAGAGCCCCTAGGGCCCTATATAGTAGGAA